CATTCTTACTCTTATTCTTGATATTACACTTGAGAATTTAACACTGAATGTAATAACATTACCTAATAGTCATATTTCCCCAGTTGTCTCTAAAATCTCTTTTAAAAAGTTTTTAAAAGTTCACGGGTCCATCAAGGTGTGACACTGCATTTGGTTGCCCTCTCTTTAGTCTCTTGCAGGGACTTCTGAGTCCCTGTCCTTTTTAGCCTATTTGACATTGATGTTTTTAAGGAATCCACATCTGCTGCCTTGTAGAATATCCAGCAAACTGGATTCATGAGATTGTTTACTTATGATTATAGATTCTATTCAGGTTAAACATTTTTTGGCAAGAATGTCACATAGTTGAGTGTTTTGTGCTTCTCATTGCATCATATTGGGGAGGCACATGGTATTATTTTGTCTCGTTATTGGTGGTATTAAATTGAACACTTGGTTAAAGTGGTGCCCATTTTATTAGCATTAGGGATGAACCCTGCCTGTCTCACATATTAAAATGATGGTTCCCAGTCCTCACTGCATTAGTCATGTCCCATCCTACCAGCCAAGGGAGGTTTTCCCCCAGCTTCCTAGAGAAACAGGTTATGTATATATTCAGTAAATATCAGTTGAATTGGCTAGTTATTGGTTTCCCAATTTGAGGAACCAGTAGGGTTTCTGGGAGTCATTTTCTCACTAGTTGCATCCTTAGTTGTATAGTGGAAACCACCTAGCTGAGCTTTGTTCCTTTTTCTGTTAAGGGTTATTTTTGCTTTCTGCCCTTAGTGTGGATGATTTGGCTCTGAGCATATACCCACCAGTGTGCCACCTGACTGTGCGAATCAATGTAAGTACCAGCTTTGAGGGACTAGCTACAGGCCTAATTGATGGAATTTCAGTAATCATTAGCATTTCCTTTAAGCTATAGGGAATATGTTTATTTGTTACACTCGGATGGAAGTACAGCAGTAATGTCACAATTCTTACATGTGTTTGCGCTTAATAATTATTTGCTGAATTTGAATTATAATAGCCACAAGCTCTGGTAGTACTCTCTTGCATAACCACTTGGGTAGTCATTTAGAAAAATCCAAAGACCTTAAAATCTGCTGCTTTGAAAAGAAAGTCTTAATTACCACAGTGCTTTAGGATTCTTTCAACCTGAATTCACAAGTTTCTAATTTCTAGTATAGGCCAAAATATGTGTTTCAGAAACATAGTCTGTTCTAATATCAACACTTTGTGTGATTTAACCACGAAAGGTCAAACTTTTTATAAAAATCTGATTTTAATGTGTTCTTTCAAGTCCTGGGTCCTGTGCTAGAGTTCTATTCTCTTACTTTTATAAACTTTAAGTTCCTTTCTCTGATTTTATTGGAAGAAGAAATAAAACTGCCAGTGGCTTATATTTTACCATCAACTGTATCAATCCTAATAGTATTTGATAAATTAGATAGGAAGTTAACCAAATGTATCTTCACAATGTGCAAATACCTTGGAGTAGAATAGTATCCTTTGGGGCTTATTTAATAAGATTTTGCTAAAAAAGAAAAGAATCCATGATCCCCCCCACCCTAATCTAATCATCATTTTTTGTTTTTGATTATTTCCTCCACGGCTTTTTTGTTTTGTTTTGACTTTTTGTTACTTGAGTATTAAAATATTTTAGCTCTCATTCTTTTTTATGATAGGTCTCAGGCTGAGTAACTTTTGCTTTTTTTCTAGTCTGCAAAACTTGTATCCGTTTTAAAGAAGGCACTTGAAATTACAAGGTGAGTATGAAGACTTCTTCCCAAATAGCTTATTTAGAATAAACCTATCCAGCCATTCTCAACTCCCAAACCCCTATTTCGAGGAGTAGAAGGTGGGTGTAGTATTTTCTTTCAATTTCACTTGTGGAGCAGCTGAGTTACTGCAAAGAAACTTGTCTTTTCTTACTATAGTTACCTGTGCTCCCTGTTGAGAATAGGTTTTCCCTTGACAGTATATTAAATGTAACTTCTCTTTTTCCCATTGCATTCTCAGAGCAAGTCATGTGACCCCACAGCCAGAAGATAGTTGGATCCCTTTACTTATTAATGCTGTTGATCATTGCATGAACAGAATCAAAGAGCTCACTCAGAATGAAGTTGAATCATGAGTTTTCAGGCTCATTTGTACTCTCCTCTCTCCCTTTCCTACTATTGCAGCCAAGCTCTGGTGTCTGCTTATAAAATGAAGCTAGGATGTTTTCTGGATTGAAAGGGAATTCTTGTCAATACCTATCAAAATTCACTATTGCGAAAGATTGTTGAGTAGCCAAACTGGCAGTTATTTATAAACCATATGAGTATGATACATTTTTCTGTGCTAGATACAAAAGATAACTGCATGAGTTTTTGCTCCTGAGTTGCCTCTCAGAAATTCCTGAGGAAGCTGCCTTTTTCCCTATTTGCAATTGTGTGTTGTTTCATTGTTAAAGATGTTAATAGTCTCAATAAAATGCTAACCTGCCAGTAGTTACATGAGTACCTTTCCAAAGTGTTTTTCTACCAGAAATACATGGGTTGAGACTAGAACATTGCTTTCACTTGGGTTTATCGGTCTAAAGATATGATTCCGATCAGAAATAAATTTAAAACAAAAACACTTGACTTTATTTAGAGCAGATGACTCGAAAGCCATTGTTAGTACTTCAGCATGTTATATTCTTACCAGCAGTTTCTTCTGAAAATTATTCCAGGTTATTCCATGCCTCGAATTATTTTTT